ATTTATTATAAAATTTAATAAACATTTTCTGATTTTAATAAATATTTTAAAAATACTAACTAGTTAATATTTTATTACTTGAAAAATATTGTATATTTTATATTATAAAGTAATTAATTTATTCTTTTGTTTTTATTTTTTGTTAATTCTTTTTTATAAATACTTTATTTGAAATATTAAGTAGAAATTATTAATGGAATAATTTATATTAATATATTGTATTATATTAATATAATATACTAATATATTATATTATTAATGTACATTAGTAGGAAAAACTGTCTTTTTATTTTTTGGTTATTTAGATCGATTTGGTCAACATTTCCAAAATAATGTAATTTTTATATCCATCCATTTTCATGTCAGTGAGCCTCAACATCAACATATATCAGGCAACATTAGCGAAATTTCGCGACATTTGAAACCATGTCTATTACTAGAATCAGAAAGCGGTCCTTAACTGTAATATTATTAAGTGCCCGATAATCCACACAAAATCGCCACATCCCATCTTTCTTCTTGACAAGAAGAACAGGTGAAGAAATTGGGTTGTGGCTGGGTTGAATAAAATTTTTATCCAACAGTTCTTGAACCTGTTTTTCAATTTCTTGTTTTTGAAAATAGGGACAACGGTAGGGCCTTACATTGGTAGGAGACACATCTGGCAATAGTGGAATTCTGTGGTCATGGCTCCTTGTTGGGGGTAGATTCGTTGGTTCCTTGAGAACTGCAGCATATTGTCGGAGAATGTTGCTGAGCTGTTGTTTGTAATCAGCTTGAGTCGATGTATCTTGGTCCTAGGATAATGTTGGGCATGTATGATTTTATTCCCAGATAATGAGCTGACTTGGGTCTCATGCTTCTTTCAACATGGATGCCAAGCTTACTGAGCTGGCTCGGCTAGCTGAGTGGCCTTGTAAATGCACTCTTGTTCCTTCTATCATGAAATCCATAGACAAACGGGCCTAGTCGCACAGAACAGGCCCAAGTTGTTGCAACCATTGAATTCCCAATACAATATCGGCCCCACTTAACTCCAGTGGGTAAAGATCAACCACAAATTGTTGCTCTTGGATGTGTAACCCAATGTCTATGCAAATTCCATCGCATTGGAGTAAGGTCCCATTTGCCACATGGCCCTTAAATGAGATTGTGGGCTGAACTGGTAATCCAAATCGTTTGACTAGCATAGTGGTTACAAAGTTTAGAGTGCTACCACTGTCAATGAGGATAGACACTTGGTGACCCCGAACTAGACCCGTCACCCTCATGGTTTGGGGTGATGAAAACCCTGCTAGGGCCTGTAACGAGATTTCTGGTTGTATGGTTTCAGCCCAGTGTTCATCAGTTAACGATCTTTCTTCCGGTTGCTGATCTTCTTCTTCATCCTCAGTCTATAATAAGAAGCCTTGTTGAGACTTGCATCCATGGTCGGGGCCAAACTTCTCTTTGCAATTGTCGTAGAGACCTTTCTCTCAACGGTTTTGCATTTCTGTCCACGTTAATTTCTTGAATGGAATAATGGGGCTCGGGCCTAAGTTACCTGGTGGTTGAACTAAGATGTTAACTTCCTTATTGGGTCTCGTCCCTTCCGATCTGGGTGTTGTAAATGATTTGTTTGTCTGCTGCCACGAGCGGTTCAGACGTCGGGCTCAAGCTATCTTTTCTTCTTGGGTGCGGGCTAGGGCTGTTGCGGCCATCACAGCTGATGGATGCATCGCCTTGACCTCTAACCGTATTTCTTCCTTGAGTCCTCCCACAAAAGCTCTGACCAGTGCCTTCTCCGACCACCCTTGGACTCTTAACGATAGACGTTCAAACTCCAACTGGTAGTCACAAACACTTCCTACTTTATCTTTGCAAGACCCGTCAAAATCTTCATAACCAGAAGCCCCGAATCAGACACATAGGGCATCAATGAAGTTGAGCCATGAAATACAAGGGTTCCCTCGACGATACCACTGATACCAGAGGATTGTGTCTCCATCCAGATGCATTGCTGCCAACACCACCCTATCTGGTCCAGATGTTTCGTTGTACTCAAAGAATCTTTCCGCCCTGCATTGCTGCCAACACCACCCGTGCCTCCATGGTTGTAGCTCGAGTATTTGTCATAGCTCTAATACCAAACTATTAGGTGCTGCCTAACTCAGGGTTCGTTGAGTGAACCAAACTCCTAAGGAGAGAGGGAAAACTGAAGGGGAATAGAGGGGGAGAGAGAGAGTAAAAACTTGTTATAACCAGTTCCAATGCTGAAGTCAAGTACAGGATCATGGTTCATGGAGTGTCAAAACTTTAAAGGTTGAACATTCTCTTGGATGATTACTTGTCAACAACAGTTTGTCTTCCCTTTTTAAGTTGAGTGTCAATTTGCTGTTGTACTTTCAAGGGGAGATGTGAAGTGGGCTGTATTGTGCAAGTTGTGCATGGTTAACTCTATGCTCAGCTTAAGGGAAAGTGTTACACCTCTTGTCATTTGGAATTCTGGGTATTTGTATTCTTTAATTTGACTTTAAATCAGATAACCCATATTCCTAATGCCATTCAAAGAGATTAAAGTGACAAAAGATAAATGCACCAATATAGCTCAACCATTGCAAGTTCGCAACACCTTACCTTGCTGAACCATTCATTCATTTCAATTGCAAAGTTAGCTACTCTAGTAACCCAATGCAACAAGGTGTTCACCAAGTGTGAAGGATATTACCTCTCTTAGATGATAGGAAAGACTTGAAGTTACTGCTGTTAGCAGAAATTTTAGGTTGAAAAGTAACCCAGAAATCGAAGAGAAGAAGAGAGAAGAAAATAAAAGAAGAACAAGAGAGGAATGGGCAAAAAGGTTACATTACTGTCACCCTAAGCAGTATTATTTATATGTATTTAACATAACATTAGGTAAAAGGACAAAAATGCCCTACTACCTATAACAATACAAGAAAGCAAGCATAAAGCAAAAACAAGCAACAAGAAACTGAACTTATGGGACCACACATAAATATCAGGTCTGGTCCACTGTATCACTACAATCCCCCTCAAGTTGGGAATAGATACTCATCAATCCCAACTTGCACAAATCTAATTCCAATTTGACTTTGGTGACTGCTTTAGTGAAAAGATCAGCAAGCTGCATATCAGAGGAAACATAAGACAAGCAAACATCTTGAGAAGCAACTTTCTCTCGGATGAAGTGACGGTCAACCTCAATATGTTTAGTTTTGTCATGCTAGATGGGTTGTGAGCAATATCTATAGCAGCTTGGTTATAACAGTAGAACCACAATGGTTTCTCATACTCAATCCCTAGTTCCTCAAGAAAGGATCTCAACCATAAAACTTCAGCCACACCAAGAGCCATGGACCTGTATTCTGCCTCAGCACTTGAACGGGCAATAACATTTTGCTTCTTGCTACACCATGACACTAACTTACCTCCAACAAATGCATAGTACCCTGAAGTTGGTCTTCTATCATCAACACATTCAGCCCAATCAACATCAGTATACACCTCGATTTTCATATGACCATTATTTTTAAAGAGTATACCACTACCTGGACATTTCTTCAAGTTAGCAAGGATTTTTTTCCACAGCAAATAGATGAGTGGTTCTAGGAGAATGCATGTATTGGTTGACACTGTGTTTTAAAAGCGCAAGGCGCAAAAAAAGAACAAGGGCCAATTTGCGCCTGAGATGCAAGGCAAGGCAGGCACCTTTTTAAGCAAGGCACAAAATTACAAAAAAAAAAAGAAGCTAAAAATCAAAAAAACGTCAAAAAATGCAAAAAAAAAATCAAAAAATATTAAACATAATGTTAATAAAAAATATAAACTTAAATTTTAAAATAAATGTTTTAAAAAAACTATTATCTAAAATTAAAATACATAAACATAACATGTAAAGCATATTTAAATGAAAATTTAAAAATAAAAGCAAACATATAAAGTATTTTCAAGCATGTAAACCCACAATCTCTTTTCTCCTTAATTGCATTGCTTCAAGTAGCTAATGTGATATAAAACATATTGCATTCTTGATTCTATAAATCGCCTTTGTACCACGCCCCTCAAGGCAAGCTCGAACAAGTCTATGTTAGGGTCTAAAATTCTTATTTCTCACATAAAAAACAATGATTTTATAACTCTCATTGCCTTTTATGAAGATATTTATTGCAATGAATGAAATTCTCATTATTTTTTATGTGAGAAATAAGAATTTCAGACCCTAACATAGACTTGTTCGGGCTTGCCTCGAGGGGCATGATCAGGGGTCCGGGGGCGGAGTATGTAACCCATATTTCTATCATCACCTCATTCAACTCATACAGTATACACCTGAACAAAAACCAGCAATAGTATGTACCCCATATTTCTTTCACTAAGCAATTGAGTTAATGCAAGCCAAAGAAATACATTTAAATTGAAGCTATGCATACAAAAAGCTAAAGGCATAATCAAATGAACTTTAGCAAGAGATAGATGAAATCTAGATAAAGTGAAGGAGGAATTGGGGGGGTAGGGGGGGAGAGAGAGAGAGAGAGAGAGCATAACCAAATCTTTACCAAGTGTATTAGGTGCTGTTGGTGCTAGATGCCTCCACCTTAATGTTCTCTCCATAAAATCAAGGCTATCTTCAGCATCAGAGTATTTTCCAAGATCGTCTATGTTCTGACCCGATGTACCAAGAAATCTGGATATCATAGTATTACAATATGCATATAGAGAATTAGTGATACACATGACCTATACGGCTATATGCATATACAATCTCATAAGAACTTGTATGCAAGTGATATTCTTCATTTACCTAACATTGTCAAGTTCAAATGAGTGAGGATTTGTACATGAAACGAAAGTATTATAAGCTGATGCCCCAGGGAAAAGGCATCGGTGCAAAGGCTGAAAGAAAGAAGGGCATTTCAGAACAAAACAAGCTTTACTTTTATTTTGTCATATTCATGACCACAGTCAATGATGCAGAGAGACCTGTTGAGGTAGAGAGAAGTTTGCTGGGTCACTAGGCCCTGGCATGATATCCAAAGATACAGCTGCGGCAAGCTGCACAAAGCAAATAAATGCATTAAGGGTAGCAGGAAAGCAACTCAATAAACCAACATCACTAGAACTGGATGAGATGTAAAACCAGAACGATCACTGGGTCACGACTTTACTGGTTTTACTGGCAATTAAATTGCTAAGCCTGTAGAATCATGAAAAAAACTAGAACTTCAAAAATTCATTAGATCATTGGTTTACCAGTTCCAATATCCAATCTCATATGAATCTGACAACACTTCAAATAAACAAAGATCAAAACAAGAAATTACTAAGCTTTAGGAATCACTAGAGTAATAACAACCTGTGTTAACAAAATATCAAGCTCTTTAATTGGCTCAGACAACCTAGATTGATCCTTTGAAGCCAAAGCCTGCACAAATTTGATAAAAGTTACACCAGGGAAATTCGATACATTTTAGAAGTATGCTACAACCACATATTAGCATCATAAAAGCAATTAATTAATTCTTTTTCCAGTTAGCAATGATAATGGGAAATTATTAAATAAATTGGTTTCTATTTTTTCCTCTGAATTTAATTAAGAATGCTGGAAGAGACTATACATTGGACAACAGAAGTTAGTGAACTTAGATATTTCAATCATTCATACAACTGTCAAGATTCATGAGAACCTCATGATACTTTTATACGCTGTAACATGAGAACAGAAAATCAAAGCCTTCAATGATATCAATCTATCATGAGAAACTACAGCTTCCTTAGTTTCAAAAGCATGAAAGGGTACAACATGTTTTTCTTCAAATATCTCAGATATCATGACAGATCACCCAAAAAAATCAAAAGAAACCAAAATTAGGAAATGTTGAAGTCACTTATTCAAAGGCGAGCTAAAAATACCAACCCAAGAAAAGGAACACCATGAAGAAGATTAAAAAGTAAAAAAGGAGAGAGTTATCGATGTAAAATGGCTGACAGGTTGGAAAGTCAGTTTGTAATAGACACTGTACGGTAATACTTAATAAGGTGGCCTCCTTGGCTACCTAATCTTTGGGATACTTGGCATATTGTAAATATTATAACTCTCTTCATCAATAATAAACTTGAATTATCCATCAAAAATTTTTGAACTGAATTTTTTTTGAACCTTGCAAGACCAGATAAAGTCATGTTACCTGTCCATTAAGAAGTCCAAGAGTAATTTCAACAGAGTTCCCAGCAACAACCACACGAACTATTTGTGATGCAATACTTTGCTCCTGTTGAATTCATGGAGTTTATATGCAGATTATGTTGTAAAGAAGTTAAGTAGCATGAAAATTAAGAAAAGAAAAAAAAATAATAATTTGGAACTATAGTAGAGACCTTCTCATCTCCTAAATGCCCTGTGATATGATCAATAAGAAGCTGGAGTTGGAGAGGATTAGAAGTATTGCTACCAACACTCAGCCCCGAAACAAAAACAACATACTTGTCTTCCCCTGAGTGCAATGAAACCACACAGCTTTAGTGTGTACCTAGGAATGTGCAGCAACGATTTGTCCTATTAACAGTAGTCAAATGGAGCTTAAGTTATGGTAATCAAAAACCAATGATTTACTATAGTATTCACAATTTGAATCCTGAATCCCAATGGTTCAAGATCTGAACCTTATTATTGATTCTTTTTTCTAAAAAAAATCAATTATTATTCAAGCCTTATGATTAAATTACCGAATGTTATGATTTACTCAATTCATACCATTTCAATCAAATTGACTTGTACCAAATTCCAAACCCACACATTTCCCATTTTAATTTTCAATTTTTCAATCAGATTGTGTCATCCCTTACTAGACTAAATGGTCTATTTGCATTATCTAAACCTATTTAAGGAGCCTTATGAATTCATTTTTTATCAATATGTGGGCCAAAGAACTATTGTGTACATGAACTGATCAACTTTGAAGTTGAACTTAATCGTATTATCTACCGCTTACAGTGCATAAATGGTAACTTTGTTCTAGCAATTATTTAAAGGGATTTGATGCAAGTGGTGGGTTGGATGAATAATGATAGCCAAGGGGTCCATAGGCAAGTCTTAAGAGAAACCAAGCATCTTGCAAGGGAGGTAGGGGCCATGTTAAATGGGTCAAGCGTTCAGCAAATGGCTTGGCTAATTCCCTAGCTAAACAATGGGTTTCAAGGAAACATCTTTTGGGGCTTCTTTGCATGTATGATGGGAATAGGGTAGGCTTTTGCAGTCATCTATTGTAAAGACTGTAAAAATCACATTTGATTTAATATGAGTTACTTCGGTTATTGATAAAAAAATACTCAAGTGAAGGATGTAGAAAGAAAATGAACTAAAATCTTTTTCAAATCTCTTTAGTTAATATTTTTAATGATTTGAAGGCCCATGATTTAATAATGGACATGATACCGAACAAAGTGAAATGTCAGAGCAGTATTTCATGTAGACATCCCCATACAGTTGGGACAAGCTTAGTGGAGTTTTTAGTATGCATATTTTCAAACATGACAAACTCTAAAAATAAACAATTTACAATATGATTTATGACTCACTTGACTCAACCTTTTCTGTGGTTTGAGATATAATAACAATATTCACCACATTCTTTGAGCATGTAATTTATTCTCTACTAAAGAAACCGTCATTCATAGTTGGTCTCCACCAGAGAGAGGCTTCATTAAACTTAATTTTGATGGCAGTAGCATGGGCAACCTGGCAAACTCAGGTGTAAGTGAAGTTGTTTGGAATGAAGAAGGTATATAATTGCTGTTTTTTCAGGTCTGATCAGCATAGTGACTCACCGAGGGGAAGTCATGGTTATGATGGAATGAGTGCAAAGAGCAGATAAAATGAACATACAAAAACTAATAATTGAAGGGGAATCAAAATTGGTAATGACATGGTTACAGAATAGGGCTTTAGGCAATACAAGAATGAACTAAAGAAGTAAAGATGTTTGACCAAGGATATGGAAGTTAAATGTTGTTGGGTTAACAAAGCAGCTAATTATGTTGCAAATTGTATGGCCAAACAAGGGGTGGGGAGAGAACAAATGTTTTGGACACAATTGTAAGGAAATGAGAGGGGAGAGATAAAAGGGCTTATCTCTCTTTACTTATTGTATATGTTCTCTTTCTTATTAATTATAGAAATGATGTTTATTGATCAAAAACAATTTTTTTCAATTATCAATGCTCTTGGCCTTCTCTTGTGTCACATAGGTTAAAGTTTGTCTCCACTTTTTAACAAACACTGAATAACAGGAACAAAAGGTGTGTCACATATGCTGTTGAATATCCAAAAAAGAAGATGCAAACCAAATCTATGTCCAGACATGAGCCCAGTAGGAACTAAACACAGCCCTTTTCCTCAATGTACATGGACATGGAGGGAAATGTATACTTCCAATCAATGTCTTCAAAAAACAGAAACCTGTCTAGTTCCCAATTTTCCCAGTTTAACTGGTGGTTTAGTCATCCCCAGTTTAAAACCACAACAGGCATAAAACCAGAGATAAGATAACTGTTCCAAAACCATGAACCAAGATCTTCTCCACTCTCCAATTTTCCCAGTTCAACCAGTCAGTCTGAACCGGTATTCCATCTTTCAAGACATTTTCTAGAATATAGCATCACCTTGGAAATATTATAATCTGTAACAACAGAACTGTCTGGAAGGTCATCAATATACCTGAACCACATGGAAGCTGCATTTGTGGTGGTAGACCAGGTTCTAAAATATCTTGAACCAAAAAGTCACCAGCACTAGTTTCCTTTCCATGCAAAGCCACCACAAGTCCTGAAATAGAGTAACACAACATGAACAAATTGAAGATTTTTTAATGAAGGAGTTGATGATCCAAACATTTTTGTTAAATAAACATGATTCTCTTTCCTTTTTGACAAGTAGCATGCATATGTTTATAATAAGTATGTAGTAAACAGTAACACTTTAAAAGACCTATCTTAGAACCAAAAGATCCTAGAAAGACATTTACCATGGCATAGATCCATCACTATACAACCCCTCTCTACCCACATCATTAGCTATGCCATCTACTAAGGCTGTGTTTGGTTGCAGTACAAATATGAACCAAATACAAATTTTGCACCCAGTTCAGTTTTGCATCCATTTGTTTGTAATAATGATTTGCACTCCTACCGGATAGAAAACTTGTACTTTTGTTTCATATGCACTCACTAGCAGTGTAAATTTTGCATCTCAAAAACTGGTGAAAAATTTGTACCACCTTCCTCGGTTCCTCCTACATCAATTCTCTCACACAAAGTGGGGACCGCATCATCTTGCTTCCTACCTCACTCCCGAACAAATAACCCTCCTACTACCTCCATTCCCTTGCAAATAAGGCAGGATCACACCATTTTACTTCCTATTTTACTTTTCACACACACACAAGACAAGGTTAAACCTGAAGCAAAAGTAAACCGGAATTTACACTCAACCTATTTGCACTCCCATGCATTTATAGATGTATGGGGATGTCTCTAACTTCCCAATGCCTAAGGGCCTGCCCATCCTATGGTATTTGCATGAAATTCCTTCAGTTAATAGCCATCTAAACAATTTTTCTTGGCAAAATGCAGACCTAATACCAAATATGGAGTCAAATTCCTTCAATGTACAAGGGTGAATTTATAGATTATGAATTGAGTATCCAAAAATACAAATCTTGGAGAACTGCCTAAAAGGGAACTAGTTACATATACTTATATATGCTGTTGCCCTTCAAGGTTTGTATTCAACCATCATGGAATGAAGTTTTTCTTACTTTTTCAGTCATACATCTACCATATCCTAACAAAACATTCCAACGTTGCTACATTTTTTGAAGATTTGATATGATATCAACATCCAACACTACAATCTTATTTTGAGAATTGATACCACATTACATAAAATCAAGATAAAGTATATGATGGGCCGATTTGCAAGACATCCCCTAATAGTAAATATTTTTTAATTTGGGTAAATATATTGTTTAAAATTTGAATTAGGTAGGAAAACCTAAACGAAGAAAAGCTAACCCAATTTAGAAACAGAATGCTAATATAAGGGAATTGGAATTTAGATGGAAAGATTAATGATATTTGGCTTGAAATGACAAACAATATAAAAAAAAAAGAAAAAAAAAACTAGCAAAGGATGTCTAAGGAGAATATAAAGGGAAATGGCAAAGTACTTGTTAGTGGTGTTAGTGAAGGGGTATTTTGGTCTTTGCACTTGTTGAGAATGTTGATGTGTACTGTTATGTTAGTTCGAGTGCCTCTTACTTAAATAAGGGCACTTAAGTYTTTTCYAATAAGTTAATAATATAATAAYAGGTCTGGCCGAATCTAGGGATAACTTTTTCTCTAATTCGAACCAAACCTCTCTTTTCTCTCTTCTTCTTTCCTCTCCTACTACTTACTAAAGAAACTTGGTGGCAAAATGAAGAGGTTCAAAATATAATTAGATTAAAAAGAGCATGCCACAAAGAATGGCAAAAGGCTAGAAATGTAGAAAATTGAGAAAAATATAAAACCAAAAGAAAAGAAGTTAAAAAGAAAGTAAAAGAAGTTAGATGTATGGCTTATGATGAGATTTACCATAAATTAGGCACTAAAGAGGGAGAAAAAGGAATTTATAAACTAGCAAAGCCGAGAGAAAGGAAAGGCAAAGATTTAAACCATGTAAAGTGCACTAAAGATGAAGATCAATGAGTCATGGTAAAACATGAGGAAATCAAACAAAAATGGAAAAACTATTTTGAAAAATTATTAGAGGAACGGTAAGGAGAAGGTGCTAATGGAGGAGAATTTAGCAATACTAGTATTGTTAAAAATAATGCATACCTTCATAGACCTACTGGAGTAAAAGAGGCACTAGATAAGATAAAGAAGGGAAAGGCATTAGGACTTGATGGGATTCCAATAAAAGTATGAAAAGATATGGGAGAGGTAGGCTTCTTATGGCTACCCGAGCTATTTAATAAGATAATGAAAGAAAAGAAAATGCCTAATGGTTGGAGAAACAGTGGTATGGTGCCTATATTTAAAAAAAAATGTGATGTACAAAATTGTAATAACTATCAGGGAATATGAAACTTTGGGAGAGAATAATTGAACTAGTGTATCGGAGAACCAATTTGGCTTAATTTCGTGGTGCATGTTGTTTGCGGATGACATTGTTTTAATTTATGAAATTAATGAAGAATTAAATGCAAAATTAATCTTATGGACAAATGCCTTAGAAACAAGAGGTTTTAAAATAAGTAGGACTAAAACAAAGTATATGACATGTAAGTTTAGTAATAATAAGAGTGTAAATCAAGATGCACTTAGGATTGGAGACCAAGGGATAACACAAGGTAACCATTTCCGTTGCCTTGGTTCAATATTTCATAACAAAGGAGAGATTAAGGAGGACACCACCCAATGAATTTTCAAAGTCAAGTCAAAAAGACAGAGATAGAAGAGAGAAAAGAACAAACAGTTTGGTGGGTGTGTCACCTTATGATTGTGACCCTAAAAGAGATATTTATATTAAAGAAAGAAAAAGGACAAATCTGCCCTTAGTGTACAAAAGAAAGAGTACAGAAAATAGGTGTACAAAAGAAGAGTTGGATGAAAGAGAGGCTCAATCTAGAATGAAGGAGGGGGAGAGAGTTCTGAGGGGACAGTTGAAGAAGGACCTAGAAGAGGTCCTACTGAGGGAAGAAATAAGCTGGAGGCAAAAGTCAAGGCATAGATGGATTAAGCAAGGTGATGGGAATACTAAGTTTTTTCATGATGTAGCAAATGGGAGGAGGAGAAAAAATTTTGTGTCTAAGTTAGAGGTAGGGGGGAGGAATTCACTAACCAGGATGATATTGCTAGGAAGTTTGTGGAACATTTCAAATCGATTTACAGAAGACCCTTGGAAGAAAGGAGGGAAATCGAAGGGATTGATTGGTCAAGGTTGGAGGAAGATCAGGTTAGGTGGTTGGAAAGAAACTTTGAGGAAGAAGAGATTAGGAAGGCAGTGTTTTTGATGGACAGGTCCAAAGCTCCAAGACCAGATGGTTTTACAATGGCTTTTTACCAGGATTGTTGGGAGGTGATAAAAGATGATCTTTGTGAGGTTTTTATTGAGTTCGCAGAGAAGCATATAGTCAGTCAAGGCATTAATTCCACATTCTTGGCCATAGTTCCAAAGAAAGTTGATGCTCTCCATCCTAAAGAATTTAGGCCAATTAGTTTGGTGACTAGTATTTATAAAATCCTGGCCAAGGTCTTGTCTTTAAGGATTAAAGAAATCCTCCCCTCCATTATTAGTCAGGCTCAAGGGGCTTTCATCCAAGGGCATCAGATAATTGATCAGATTCTGATTGCCAATGAATGTGTGGAAGAGATGAAGAGGTCCAAG